GGGGGTGGAAGCCAGACTTTTGTACATTAGTTCATTAGATCGGAATATACTTCGTTTCCTTAGGCTTTAGTCGCCTTAGGGCATGCCTCGTGGTTGATGTGTTGTTATGGTGACGTGACTGTTCGTTCATCGGTAAGTTTTCTCTAAGTTCCTGCTACTTTTGAAAATAATCTTGTGCTTGACGAGCTAGAATATTGTAGCATTTATATGACAACATTTTCAGCAATGGGCCACGACAGCAGTGTACAATATTCGACTAGAAAGATCACTGCACTGCCTTCTTTCATTTTCCTTGTGGTATATGGTGAACCTCAAGCTTTTTTTTTTTTGAGGTGTTGATAACCAAGTTCGGTCACAGACCTGCTGAATCCTCGGTTCAGCGAGGTGTTCAACAATACCCTCCTAGTCCACAAAATTATATGCACAACTCCGGCTATATGAGTTCAGAGACTCCCAATTTACATGAAATATGAATTTTCTTATATAAATCAGCTCCAGCCTCAAAAAATCCGCCCGTCGAAAACCAGAATAAGGTCTTAGTCAAGAAAACCCAAGCTAAAGACGATGAAGCAGATTTTGGTCACGCTAAGGTCCATCATGGTGTTTAGGGATATGTCACTGAAGATGAGCTCAAAATTTGTCTTCGCTCCATTGTTATGACTTCAATAGAAGAGAATGATCAAGGAAGATATTCAAAAGGCATGGTTTGGTGATGTCTGCTACAGAAATAGAGCAGCATCCGTTTAGATGAACCGTGACACCGTTGGTTAAGATCCGCCGGAATGGAACGAGTTCACCGGCCTTCACAAGCTAGTCTTTATTGGAAGAAAGCTTATTGATATAAAGAGTCACGACTAAATTCTCCGGAGCGCCGCAAACTTAGGAGAACTTTTCCCCAAGGGCAAACTTCGAAGGATAAAAGGAAAGAAGTTCAGGCGAGGACAATTATGCATACGAATCAACCCCTATGCTGCAATTTGTTGATACTATAGGACAAAATGTTTTTATATCCAACTCATGAGTGATGAGAAGCTGGCAAGCGACCTTTGACTCTATTCCACCTCCTATGGATGAGGCTTTTCTTTACATTCTTCTCAGCGGTCAAAAGAAAATTACAGCGGCATATCTTGCTCTGCAAATAACCTGTGTGACGTAGCTGCTACCAACCCAGAAGCACTTCATTGTTGAAATGAGATTTGTTTATGTATGACTAGATAGTTTTAATAAGAAGTCGAATATTTTTCCCCGGAGCCGCTGCAGCGTGCCTCCCATAGGGAATTCTGGTGATCAGTTTGTCGTCACTAAAAATCTTCGCATCTCGTTATTTTTTACAGCTAGCTGCAATGGCAATCATGATGTAATTCATTTCTTTCCCCAAAAATTCTTAAATACTCAATGCACACTGTCACCTTGCAATGTCACACGGAGTACTTTTCTGACAAAATTCATAGGGATCCGGACAAATAGAAACAACTCGTCACGTTATTTACCTCTGTCAGTGCTATATGCTACCGGAACTGTGCAGCTCAGGCACATCGTTGTACTTGTTTCTAACGACTATCTACCGGTCGGTTCATGTTAGATAAAGTTAACATGCAATGCAACACATGCTCTGTTGAAGGACTCGGTAATGACTAAACTTTACGGGAGTTAGAATAAAAAATTCGCAACTGGGAGTATGTAGCAAGATCTTCCCTTAACACTAATGATAGATACTTACACGAATTTAGGCTCCCCCTTTTGGCTTTAGGACATTTTCCTCGCTCAGATGCCTGTACAGACCAACATCTTCGTGATGAGAAACTTCTCAGTCGTTCTCAATATGCCCGTGGAATCATCCTTGCCGTCATGCCATCTTCAATGACACGCCGCTTTATTCTCACAGACACTTAAAACAGGACCCCAAGATTTATCGTTAAAAACTCGCTTATTCAAGAGCTTTTGCTAGGTTCGAAGGTGTGCCAAAATTGTCGAACATTTTAAATCAAGGATTGCCATTTAATAAAAATGGCATAACAGAAAAAGATGTTGACATCAGAATAGCTAAGAGTGAAGCTTGAGGATTGATCGAGAAGGGAAAGTGGAGGAAGATTGGATACAGTGTGAAAAAGCTACATTTATTTGCAACGAGAGCCGACGTAATCATCGATCTTCAAAGGCTTTTGCTAAGTACACGTGTAGTTTATTCATCTTGTCTGCTATCCTCCTCCTCTTTTCCTCTCCTATCAAGAATTACGCTTTCCCCTTTTGCTACTGTGGTTACGACTTCTTTGACATCTAGGATGGTGTTGGATGATAGATGCTATCAGCAGCGGAGAAGAAGGGTTATACAAGGTTTCCATGAATTAATTCCAATCATACTCGGCGGATGCACAGACAAGTTAAGAAAGACAAGAATCCAGAAAAGTCAAACTTCACAATCTCCAAAGTTCAAGGTAGCGCGGGTGGGAAGCCAAACCTCTTGTATCTTCAGGTAGCGTTTCTTAATAATAACCTTGTTTCCTACAGCCGCATACGGGCGTACATTTCTTTTATATACTTCTGCGAGTGAGTTTTGAATCCTGGGGTTGAACAGGATATTCACTTTGCTCCCATCAAGAGTCCTGCAATTCATCCCGTATAACCAACTAATAACTAACTCTACCAATCCCACCTACCTACCTACCACAAAGCCTTTCCAACATCCAAAATGCAACATCCAATATTCAAAACCCAACATCAATCATACTCTCCCACATAAAACCCCATCACCACGCAACCGAAAAGTTAGTAAACTATAGCTAGATTTGAACCTTACTCGTTCGTACAAGGAAAATCCCAAAGTACCTCCTGATCAATTGACTAATTGACCAATTACTTAAATAATGATATATCAGAGGAAATTATAATTAACAATCTGACATGGAGAGTACAGCACAACCTGTACCAAAATTAACTGAATATTGCAGGAAGTACTAGATAAGTCATCGTATGACCTGCTGCGTTTTTGGTAGATGTCTAAAGCTCAGAAGGAGAGAGTGTGATGATGAAAGCAGAGACTGTTTCTGAATTTTTACGATTACTGAGTAATCCGTTCATCTAATCTATTGATCCATTGCTACTACCTACTTTTACATATCATACTTACTTTAGTTTTACTTCACTTCACATGCTTATCTCATAGTCAGATAATATAACTAGACAGGAATAAAAAAGGAATATGCTATGCTATTACACACATACACCATCAATTTCGTCTATACCTCTATACGCCAAGGAATAATTCATTAAAAACTATGAATTAACCATGATTTTGGTCGCTTTAACGACGATAACTCCGAATTCCACAAAGTCAAGTCGCAATACTGCCGTAACCCACATTAGTATCCCAAAACACCACAACGAATGCCTTTTGAACAAATATTGGTATCCTTATACAACCCTTTGCACCATCCGTGGGAGAAAA